AAGATTTTTCTGGATAACAAAATATAAAAAATAGTTTTGTTATTGTAAAAAGTAAAAACTAAAAATAACGAATTCTCATTTTGCGGCTTATCTTTTTTCGCTCTTCTGGAAAAATATATAAAAAGAATCACTTGTTTCACCCTGTGTTTCATTCCAAATAATTCTTATCAGAATAATTGTATGGCTAAACCAAAGAATGTAAAGCATTTTATTTACATTTTACATTCTCTGGCTAAACCAGAGAACGTAAAGCATTTTATTTACATTCTCTGGCTAAACTAGCAATTATTTCGTCAGCGTAAGTTGTTTTCTTTCACTGTATAGCAGATATGACGCTTGTGTACATTATAAATTACAACCTTTTTCATTATCCTTGTTTGCCAAGCGTCAATTCTTACCTGTTTTCCTTTACATGTTTGTTTGGTAACGCTRTACCACACAGTTCAATGTACTATAAATAAATATTTGCCACTACTTTTATGATGCGCGAGTGCAATGCGAAAGTAAGTAGCACCTATTACACACGTAAGACAGGACGTACAGGACGTGCCGCTTATATTACGATCATAAGCCACACCCGAAACCAATGTAAAAATAAAATTGATCGTCGAGCTACTCGCTAAAAGGAAATCAAACTTTTAAATACATTTATCATTGTCCTTAGCAATTGGTTGTATTGTGTTCGCAGGAAATCTCAGTGCCCTCGCTACTTTGGCATGAATTCATTTAGTACGTTAATGCCAACCACTATCTTTTAGCTTCACAGGAGCATTTATTGAGAATAAGCACATAGATATGTATGTGTTTGTATGTACTCATCCATTTATGTTTGTAACGCTTCCTCAGCACAGTTACCTATAAGTAGAGGCAAGGCAGTGCGTCTGGTTGGTTCATTCTTCATAGTGCTACTGCAACACAATATCAACATATTTGAACAAGTTGTCCTTTCAACACTGCATCAGCTTATTTTTTTTTGTCACTGACGCTGTTTACTCGCTTCCTTATTCTGCTTGGTCTTTTTCCTTGTTTGCTTGCAATATGAGCCGTTGTGTCAATGTGTCGAGTGGTCAGATTGAATTTCATTCAATAGACATATGTAAATGCATATGTGCATTTTCATTAGTATAAATATGTATGCGTATGTGTGTGTCCTTTAAATAAAAGCATTTTTATATATCTATGCATATGTACATACATATATATGTACAGCTGCGAGCAGTGAAATAGTAGTGGGTGTTAGAGTTTTACATACCTGTGAGTTATGCAAAATTCTAAACAATTTTAACAACAATTGAAATCGAAAAGTATCATATTTCCCTGGCTACGTTTATTAATAAAAGTATTTTAATTTGAATGGGTGTAAGATATATTTATTCACAAAGCTGTGTTTATATATGAAATTTGATGGGAGCAGTAAAATAGTAGGAAAGTAATAAATTTTTTTTTTTTTAAACTGAAGGATTTTTGGAAGTTCCGTCTATACGAGATACTAGTACTTGGTAACATGGCCTTGATTTTTAATAACAGCAATACAATGCCTCTTCATAGAATCTACGA